GGATTTTGTAAAACGCTAAACCTGCACGGCATTTTTGAACTTTCGGGTAATGTTTGAAAGAGAAATAGGTAGATAACTGAAGCTGTTTTTGGAGCTAAAATTGTATCAGCCTAATCTTTCAGAAAAAAATGGATTTGTTGTTAATTTTGATGTCGGTCTCTTCAGGAGGAAGAGTTGAAGCTCCACACGGTCTCGACTGCATGCAGAATCTCGTTGATGCACTATACGGATATGTATTTGGGTTCTATGAGGAACTTCCAGATATTTCAGGTTGGTATCTTGAAATTGCTAAGGAGTTACGATGCTTGACACATCCGGTGGTGGAGAGCGCTCTAAGAACACCCGTTCCTTTGTTGCTTGTATTATGTCTTGAAACAAATTCAAAATTTTTTGAATGCAGCTTAATAGTTGTTTGACAACGTTAATCCGGGACGGCTCAAGGTTGATGTACTGATATAAAAGTCATAAAGAAGGTGCTCATTCCTCACTACGCATCCTGCAGTAACTCTTGCACTGATTTATTTACACTTTCTGCATAAAACTCATCCAGTTATGGAAATCTTTCAACAATTCTAGTTTATCCTTGTTTTACTTGCAGTCAAAGCATCTCGAGCTTTGCTTCAAAACATATAATGACGCATTCGCGTTTTGGGATTCAATAGAATTAAAGAGCAAAAATCCTATCACGGGTCATCCATAGTATGCTGGCTCTGCTGGTCCTCTGCACGTGAAAGTAAGGGCATCGCACCACCACATTTCCCCCACATGAGAGTAGCAGGAGTGCTAGAAGAACTGCACCGCATTCTGCAGCGGTGAGCTCTAATAATTGCTTTCGAGTAGAAGGATCAATAGTCTAGAAATGATATCTTAAAGTGAAGGAAAGCACTACTTCAATGTAATCTAACGGAGATGGAAAACGATGATTGTGAGGCAGTTGATGGCGCCAATGCTTCCAGATGGCTTTGCTGGTGATAAACCTGTTGGGAAATGTAAGATTTTCTTTAGAAATTTCGTAGGGTGTTGGAAGATTCTCCCTCAAATGTATCTTACATCTAGCCTTTTTATTGGATGATTCCATGTTACCCCTGCTGATGATCTTGAAATATGAAATTCACCATTATCAAGAAAGGTGGCCGGACCCTTCTTAATTGGTGGGAGTATGATACATGTTCATTCTATATTTATATTTATTCATGGAGTTTTACAGTATACAAGAGGCGAGGGGCATAGAGGATAGAGAAGAAGAGGAGGGGGAGGAGGAGGAGGCGGAGAAGAGGAAGGAGGCAACCGGCTGGTGCCAAGGTAGCGAAGCTTACTGCCGATTCCCGCTTCCGCTAGGTCCAACCCATAGAGTTTAATGATCTCGGCATCTCCGTCTCTTCAAGAAGCACGCCATCGAGTGTATATGCTAGGCTTGTTGGAACAGTTCAATGGCGTGATACCGGTTATTTTATTGAGTACATATTGTGAGCGGCCTGAACGTGGTTTTGCGAGGGGTCGAGCTGAAGAACTGAATGGTGCACTGCAGGATAAGGATGCGGAGAACTGTGGCAACAGTCGCGACCCTAACCTTATCCTAGGGCATTAAGTGAGCTTTTCCTCAAAGTAGAAGGATGCTATTGAAAGTTTGGGAACAGACCTCGGCGGCAGGTCTCCGGAGAGCGAGGTGATTCAGGAGGACGCTACCGTATACCAGCCATCTAGCGCAGCTGAGTTTGCAAAGCAATAT